AACAATGTATTTCTTCAAAACATTTGGAGATCGAGAATTCAAACAACATTCATGTTTGCTCAAGTTTGTCACAACCCTAATTTCTACCTTCACACCGATGACAAATAGTAAACACATGCTATTAACGGGCTGACGCTCCTGTATCAAGATCTCAGTCCTGAGGTGGCTTCTCTGAAGCCACACATTATAAAAGACAATTAAACAATTACATTATGAATATGACATGACTGGAGTCTGGTTCATGCTGAAAGTGCAAGGGCAGTTAAGAGGGGGGTTTGTGTATCCAACACACCTGGATATCCAGGCTGAAGTAAGTGGCATTTCTCATATTAATAATGATTTGGAAACAACATTCACAGCCAGCTTTTTCCTCACTTGACAAGCAAAGCTGGTTGCTGGTGTGACGGCTGACAACGGTCTTCCCGGACGTCATCAAGGGAGGCCGACTCTCCCGTTGTGCTTGTGCGCACTCCGTTGCAGACCTCCTTCCCATGTCATTTTTTGACATTTACAAAAAGACTTTAAAATTGCCTATGAAGGGCATAGGATTTCCGAGTCAGCGAGGACTCTGGAATAACCTCCAGAGGGGCGGGGAAATCATCTTTAACAAACAGGACGGGTGAAGATCATGGACGGTGAATTACAACACGCCCATTGGAGAGGTCTGAGCGACGCGGAGCAGCGTCAGAGCCTAACAGCTAACAGCTAACCAAACACAGCTGCCAGCGAGACGTAAGGTTTAGGTCTCTGAAGCTTGGGTCCAGGAGCATCCACCACATGGCTCTTTATGAGCTTATGTTAGGTCTGAAGACACAAACATTGCGTTTATACTATTATAAGAAGGACAAAACGCCCCCCCCCCTTGAGAGGCTTTCAGAATTACAGAATTTCTGGAACGTAAGTTAGAGTTTTTGTTGGCAGTTAATCGAAAAATGGATGGAAATTGATTTTCTGTTACCTCCATTTTGATTTCACCCCTTACGTTAATTATTCCTTAGTGTATCTGTTAAGCTAAACGTTAGCCTCTAATTTGCATGCACTAAACGGTCAAGGTAAGTTTACCAGCTGCCGTTTCTCTCCCAAAAATCACACTTAAAAAGGTTCAAATGAAGTTAAACACAATCCATGTAATAAACCTTAGTGCAGTATTTGTGCCATTGCAAAATAAACGCACGAGAACAATGCTGAAGAATAAATATTACTGTTCAAGATCATGGAGATGTGGGACGGTGTTATTGGTTGATCAAATAATAATAACCTTACATGCCGCTTGCTATGGACAACTTAATAATCGACGACCAATTACAAGGGTAAATTCACACTCATGCTATTGTCCATCGACAGCTGTGACTTGGAATTCACAATGCCTCAAACAAGCTTTGTTAAGTTGTGTCTTTGGTCCTTTTTGTTTTGCCCAGGAAGTTGTTGTTTCTTCAATTGGTTCTTCAGATTCAGCTACAAAAACCCGGTGGGTCCAGATAATGCGGTTCAAAAATATGCCACCCCATCCACCGTCGTTGAAGTTCTACCTGCGGTGTGCTTTGCACTGTTGTTTGACCTGTATTATTATTATTATTATTATTATTATTATTATTATTATTAGTAGTAGTAGTAGTAGTAGTAGTATTATGTACCATATCAAGCTTAATGGCCTCTGTCTCTTTTGCAGACGACGGGGAGCAAGTCCTGGTGGATGTGGAAGGGAAGGACTACAAACAAATTTCAAAACATGTGAATACGATTTTGGGCAAATCACAGTAAGATATCTTTACTGTAAAATTACACTGAGCATGCGTGTGACAGCACAGTAGGCCTTTTTCACAGCAGACATTTTATTTGTCAGAGAAATAAAAGCATGTGTGTGTCCCTGTAAGGTAAGGTATTGTAGTGTGATGGTGAGCCAGCATGCACAATGCAGGAGCAGCCAAATGGAATTCAGCCATCATTTTGTTATTTATTCCTAATGTTGCAAAAATTCTTCTGTGAAAAAGGCCCATTATGATCTAATCTAATCTATAAATGTATTTATTTGACTCCCTCTCTTGTTTACAGAGAAGTGTTACAAGCTGAGGCTCAAGCCAAGATGCAGGCCTCCAACCCCGCCAACTTTGGGCCAAAAAATTACTGTTTGAGGGAGTGTATCTGCGAGGTGGACGGCCAGGTGCCGTGTCCTGGCAACACGCCGCTGCCCAAGGAGATGACGGGCAAATACCGTGCCAAGATGGCAGCTTTACAGGAATGAGGAGAGCGGACTATTGTAGACTCACTGGACAATATTGAGGCACCGTGATGTTGCGTTTGATTTTGTACGATTACATAGAAAGGATATTTCTGTTGTAAATATGTGTAACTGAATGGGTTCGACTGCGCTGTGAGGTCGTCACTGGCTGACTTTCCAGTCCACCATAAACTGCAGAATGACATTGTGGGCAGTTCATACTTGGTCTTGGTTTGGATAACTTGACTTCCCACCTGGTATTTGTAGATGATGTGAAAAATCCACCCATCTGGATCCAGCACAGTGTTACTCCACAATGTAAACATTCAAATAAACTAATTTGTCTGTGTGGCTGTAGTGGTCGCTCTATGTAAAATCAGGAAAATCTTAAACCTTACGGAAGTGTCACCAGATTTATGACAGGAACAAGAAATACACACATTTTACAGAGACAACTTTTTTTTTTTTTTTTTTTATTGGTGCTGAGATGGAATTTTCTAAAGTTAACAAATTGATGTCGGTGTGTCAAATGTTTAAATCTTGCAATTGTTTTAAATGCAAAAGTATTGCTAAAATCAACTGCTAACGCACATTAAAGAAGCTCCTCGAGTTATTCACACTATCACAAAACATTTACATTGTCACATGTTTTGCTTACAGTCTTCTGTGGATGTCACAGATAAGCAGTGTGAGATCAACAGGCTGCACACAATGTTTTTGTCTGTGAAGAGAAATATGGACATTCTGACTGATAGGAAAGCACTATAGCAAATCAATGTAAGGACTTAGCAGCACTGAGTGATAATACTGGCTGGCATTCATGTAGTGTTCATTTATATGCCAAAAGAATGTCTAAAATGTTGCTTTGACTTGAGAACTGAGTCTGAGTTTACATTTATGTATTAACCTCTGTACATACTGGGATTCAAATGAAATTCTGGTGTCTTATTTGATGACTGAAAGTTGCCTACGATATTCCTTGGCATATAGTGTTTACTATGCTCCTGGTGAGTGCTGCGTGGATGGACTTGGAATGCACTTCTTGAAACAACTGAACAGATAACATGCTTTACATAGAGATCTTGTCTGACAGCATGGAACAGTAGCAATGTGTTTTATCAATATGTCCAAATGTATAAAACACGAAAGCCGGAAGACAAGCTTGGCCACTAGTTTCACATAAAGACCAGCATCAAACAGCATTTCAAAGAAACACAGACACGTGAATCATGCAACCCAAGTGCTCAGTTGGATCAGTAGTGCCACTGTAAATAAGATCACAACCTTTAGGGGGTCGCACAGTATGACGTGGAAAACGTTTTGTCCACTTGGCTCACTGTGGCATTTAAGATGCTTTAAAAAAAAAAAAATAAGAAAGGTCTAAAATGCAACCATGCCAAGGCCAACATCACATAGACAAGATGCACAAAACATTGATTAGTGAACTGAATTGATTTGAGCATCCAAACCATGTAAACAGATAGAGAAAATGTCACTTAACAGGGGACAGGTTTACATGTTCATTTGAATTCAGTTGTACAAAAAAAAGGCAACTTTCACTGAAACAGAAATAAGCTGCTGTCAGAGCAAACGCTTTGATTGCAGATGTACTTGTGGTTATTAACAGCACGGTTAAAGATTAAAAGTGTTTCCTCGTGATAATGTCATCATAGTCTGCATGAGCTACAGTTATATAACAGGAGCAACAAGAATAGCTTGGTTCTGTGTGATGTGCCTTTCATCTCCATCATAAATCTATGACACAAAGTGGTCAGGGACCGCAACTACAAGTGGTGCAAGTCGTGTGACTGAATTTGTAATTTAAGCCTGTGATTGAGTTTTAATATATAATTAATTTAATGATCAGTTTCCTTCAAGCACTAGGCTGTTTGCCACTAAACTATCAGATGGTTATTTTGTCTGAGTATTGTTAATGGCCCAGTTGGAACAGTAATGCATGGTCTGGTTCTTTGGAATTCAGTTCAGTGATGAGCAGCAAGAATTTTAATTCACCACAAATAAACCAAAGCTGTACAACAAGATGCCTCTAATAGCGATGGAATTAAATAGGAACTCCACCAATTTTACACATTACCGTTTACAGGTCTTGGGGAGTACTGTTGCATGAAGCCTTTTGTGGCTCCAGAGAATCCTCCTGTGACGTCACTTGAGTCAACACCAACAGGCGCTGAAGACTACAATTTTGAAAATGAAAAATATTCTGGGTGTGTGTGGAGAACAAAGAAGTGAGCTTACCAGACCCCTGTAGCCCGCTTGTGGCTAGTGGCTGCTACTAACATAACATACCCAAATCTCTGCCATCAGATTGCATTGTGGGTGATGTAGGCGCCAGGTTTTGACCATGCTTTGAAAAGGAAGAAGAATGCATGAAATAAAAATATACAGTATTTCTGGTCCTGATGCAAGGATTTTTATCCTTTATAAAAAAAACTGTTATAGGAGTGCTATGGTAAGTTGGTGTAGTACTCTTTTAAACTTATTTTGGTGGGAAAAAAGCCCCTTGAAACAATGAATTATTCAACCATATATTTTAAAACATACATAAACTGCTTCATGGCTCACATTTGTTCAACCTTAGCCATGTTTATATTTTGACTTTGTTCATAGCTTCTGCCAGAGAGCCAAATCACACATCCTGACTTCCACAAGACCAAAGCCACACTCATCTCAAACAACCATCTGACTGTTTTATTAAAAAATCTTTTAAGTGGCATCCTTCTGTCTTCCATTGTTCATGTTTGCACTGATTTTTTTTGCAGTGCTTAAAAACTGTGCATGCTGGGAGAGGCTCCAGCCCTTTGCGACCCTGTACAGGATAAGTGGTTAAGAAAGATGTTTGGAAATTAAGGGTGTCACTCCTGACTACTGAACTCAATATTGGGATTAACCTAATCATTCTGTGGTGCTGCAGACCTCACCCAAACTAAAATCAGTGGGCTCATTAGTCATGTAAAGTGAGCTAACCTTGCAGGACTTGGTAAGTAGCAGGTAATCAAGGCGGGAGGGTTGAGAGAAAGGTGTCAGTGCTTCTTTTTCTTCTGCTCCTGTAGGGTGTGCTGTAGCTCTCTGAGGTTCTCTGACAGGAGCTCCACCTCGTCGAGACGGCCGCTGAGCTTGGCGTCAAAAATGTAGGCCCTAATGTTGTCAATCTGCTGCAGCAGCAGTTCCTCCTCTATCATGTCCACATCGGGCAAAACCTCGTCATCATCTTCCCCTTCAAAGGGATTGGTCGAGACTCCTGGAGAACTCCCAGAGGCCTCCAGGAAAGGGTTACCTGCGTCAGTGTTGTCCTCCTCTTCAAAGGGGTTGCCAGGTGCGGCCTCAGCCTGTTTGTCCTCCCCGACCTCTTCCTCTTCCTCTTCCTCGAATGGGTTGTATTCTTTCTTCCCGTTGGTTACCTCTTTGTGTTCCTTCTTGATGTCCTCAAAGAAGGGGTTGGATGGATCCTCCTCAATGGGAGTAGAGCCCTCCTCATCAAAAGGGTTAAGGGAGCTGCTATTCTGTCCTTCACCGCCAGGGGGGGTTACATGCCCACCTAAGCTCCTCAGCCTGGGAGGTGACTCCTCCTGGCTTGTGAGAGCAGGGAATGCTCTTACAGAGGATGGACTCCTCTCAGCTTTAGGAGTCAGCTCCTCTGCATCAGTGTCTTCCTCTTCTTCGTAGCCCCCTGCTGGAGTGATATCCAGAGACCTCGCCCAGGAGATGGAGGGCAAAGTGGACCCCACAGCGGGGCCCCAATGCTCCCTCTCCTCCCTTTCCCGGGCTTCTAGGCGATCGATTTCCCCCTGCTGCAAGCTCTCCTCTGCAGCGAGCTTCTGGGAGAGCACGATGGCCAGGCTGGTCTGCTGCTGGTCGTATTCATCCTGCAGCTGACGCAGGTTCTCTTCCAACATGGCTACCTCATCCATCCTCTGGGCCTCCCGTGCCTGGCGAAGAAATGACTGTATGTTCTCAATCTGCTGCAGCAGTGGGTCCTCGAGCTCACTGCGTGCATTGGCAGAGTCTGCAGAAGGCAGCCAGCCACCAGCTTTGGTCATGCGTGGAGCTCTAGGGGCCTGCGACAGCTCTCCGTTAGTGCTGGGAGGTGGACGGTTTTTCTCAGACTCCTGCCTCTTCTTCAGGGCCTCTTGGGCCACCTGTTGAGCAGGGAGATATATAGAATATAAACATTTTGCAACTTGTTATGCATATGAAAAATCAAGTATAGGTACACAATCTCACCAGTCTCTCTTGTTGGAGTCTCTTCTCTTGTTCCTGTTTCCTTTTTTCTTTCAGCTCTTCATATTTCTCCTTAGTGGGTAAAGACATGAGACCTAACAGCTTCTCCTAAGGGAAGACACAGGGAAGGAAGGGATCAAAGGAGCAGAACATACGTAGCAGAAAACTGCATAAATGTAATAGAGTGATGATTGGAAAGCCTCATTCAGACAGGATTCAAGGGAGGCGATTTTAATATTACCTGTCCTGGTCAGTGATTTTCGTCACGTCTAGAGAGCACATCTGTGATTTTTACATAATTACAGTCCCAATTACTTGCTCTTTTTCAGCAAACTCTGTGGTCCTCCCATAATTTAAGCCCAGTCTGGAGAGACACTTTGCATTTTAGTTTAATCAGCTGAGCGCACCGTGTGACAACTCAAGTAGAAAAGGATTTTGCTAACCTAAAAAGACCTCTTGCCAACATGACTCGACTCATACAATGACAGAAAAAGTGAAAAGTGAACTTTACAAGACTAAGACCTCGCAAGCTCATCAAATGGGCTGTTGTAGTGTTATTCTGCTTTGCGTAACTTTGTGTAGCTGAACTGATTTTATGTGTAGTGAGCAACAGTGTTGCAGATACAAGTTCCTTTTCTTACTGTAAAAGCATAATCTTAGAAAGAAACATATTTGTGTGTTAATTATTCAGTTACAGCTTAATAATTACCAGTAAATAATATCAATAATACGAATAACAAGCCTGCAGGGGATGAAGTTCACATGGTTTTCCCGCAATCTTTTATCCTCTGTTACAGAACCAGCTCCTGTAATTTGCTAGTGGCTAAAATGCTGACTGGAGTGACGGCATTAAATCACAAGGGAGGTGGTGAAATATTTTGTTACCTACCACCCTGCTTAATATTTATTCTGTCCGAATGGGGCTTTTTTTTTTGTCCAAGCTGAAGACTGTGTGAACTTGGTCTCACCTGGACAAATAGTGTAGCCGTGTAGCGGATCATCTTCTGCAGCTGGAGGGCCTTCGTACGCGGTGGTGGATCATCTTTTGCTCCTAGTGTTAAAATCTTCTTGCTGAGGAGAAAACACAGAATGTGTCCATTTGTAATCTTATAAAAAAAAAAAAAACAAGGCAGAAGACTTCTGTCTGACTGACATCTACCTCAGGGCGTCGATAAGTTCGTAGTATTTCTGTACTTCCAGTCTCAGTCCACCAGCAGTGTCAAGATTGTATGTGGTTTCTCCGGCGCTGTGAAATCATACAGCCATGAAGCAACAGTCTCTCAAATAAGACCCAAAATTATTTTTCATATGTTTAGTTATAACAACATTTTTATGGGGCTTACTTAAGAGACTCAGCCATTCTGATGTATTCTGGAGCCCTTTCATCCACCTTCTCCATGCACATCCTCAGCCTCTGACAGGAAGACAAGTTTTGAGCCAATGAACAACAGGAAAGCCCAAAAGACAAACACTGAATGACGGGAAGGATACAACAGTGTAAACTCGAGACAGGTTGAAAAGAAAACACACAATCGACTGCCCTACTGGTGGGAACAGAAGAAGAGACAGATTGTGAAATCTGTAGTGATCCTTTCTATTTTACCTCATAAAGTTTCACTATATCCGGCACGTGGTCCTTCTCTTCCAGCTTCTGCTGTCTTTTCAGAAGTGTGTCCATGCAGTGGTGACAGCAGCGAATCTTCTCGTCGTCCTTTTCCTCCAACATGGAGGTAACGCTGCTCAGGCTGCTGATGCTGCCTCTCCTGGAGCCCATCCCACTCCCGCCACCTCCTGATGGGGGAGACTGGGACTGAACGGGGCTTCCAGGTACGCACAGGGCCTCTCGTGTCACACTGATGAGCTTTTCTGTGAACAGACACAAGGCAAAAATTTCACAGCAGTGAGAAACACATGGCAAAACTTTAGCGGAAAAACTAATGATGTTCCCTAGTTTGCGAGGGTGTTTTGTGGATACGTACGAGCCAGAGGTAAGGGGACAAATTCCATGCACTTCCTGCACATGATGGACCCACAGAGACGACAGTGGTGGCGCCTGTTTCGGATGTTAAACTTGTTTCCACAGTCGGGACAGAACGGGACATCCGAGTCATTGACCCACGACACCACTGACTTCTCAATGGCTATAAAAGAGGATGAACATTAATTCATATTAATAATTTATAATATCAAATAAATCACATTTGCATACACTGAGAGCATTCAGACTTGTAATGAAAACACATAAGGACAAACCTCTGATTTTGGCGGCATCTGAGTTGGTCCTGTCAAACGATGTCAACTGAAACGACAGTTAACACAACAGCACGGTTGAGCCCATCTTAAGTGTCATTTGAACAACAGCAGGATAAACATGATGCTGTGAGTGAGTTGTGATTTGATATTGTAAGCACACCTTTTCCAGTCTGATAATGAGCTTGTTGACCTCAATGACATAGTGATCTATCCTGGCTGCCCGGTGTTTTTTAAAGAAGTCGAGGTGACTCCTGGTTGCTCCTACGAAAGCAAAGAGAAAGAGAAAAACAAAGAGTGAGAGTTCAGCATATGGTCACTGCTTTAAGGCGTTCTTAATCATTCTCATTAATAATCTATCAAATGTTATCCAAGTGATACTAAAAAGCAAACCAACAAACAAATAGTGGCGATTTACTTCCACCCAGTTTACAGTCCAGTCTCACCCAGTTCCTGAGGCTCCCACATGTAGGGGTCCACTCCACCGTAGTAGAAGGACTCATAACTGCCTGTATCCGGTCTGTCATCTCCATCCCTTTTCAACAGCTTGTCTTTGGCTTTCTTTGCCTTCTGAACCAAATCTGTGCACAAAGAAAGTTAGGACACAACTACCTCCATGAGGTTATTATATACACAGGAGCTGATGTATGTATCATGTGTGTGCATAGGCCACAAGAACATCCACTAATGGTACTATCATTTAAGCTCCATTATAAATTGGAACAAAAATCCCCTTGCATAGTTCTGTTTCCAACCAAGAGTTCCCTTTTTCATTTACTGTCCCTCTCTGAGAAGCTGCAGCAGAAAAAGTTGCCAATTCATCCTGGCAACAATGTGTCCTGATCCAACACTGCAGTGCCCTTATATCACATTTAAATAGCACTCCTATAGTTGCTCTTTGGTGAACTAAACAGTACAGAATTATATTTGTTTCTGGCATTTGTGGCTGTGTCACAATGTTCACTTTAACGGGCCTCACTTTTGAGCTGTCCCCTAACGTGGCGGTCATCCCCAGAGTGCTCCTCTTCGTAGTGGTCTTGGAGTTGGTAGAATGACTGAAGGTCCTTCAGGCACAGTGGGCAAAGAAAGCCCTCCTTCACTTCCCCCGTGCCCTCAAAGGGGGGTGGATAACTGGCCATGACGGCGGTCGGCTGTGTTGTTGGAGAGGAGATGCAAGGTGTGAGATTCTTGCTCCGGTCCGCATGTCACAGGGTGTGCAACCCACCCCATACTGGCTCCATCACGCCAAAGGAAAGCCTGGAAAACTGAAGAGTAGGGGAACGCAGATTAAGGCAGCATATATTTAATAAAATATTCTAGATTCTAGATACTTTGACAGATTCAAACGTGTACTATCCTGCCCAAAAATCCAACACACACTTAAACATGTATTCATTTAAGCAACCCTGATAAAGCATCATTCACTACAATGACACTGTAACCTTTAGATGATTAAAACAAGAGTGTCACAGCAATTAGTAAAGAAATATGCAACATGTTTTACTTAGAATATAATCGGAGTGTTTAAATCTGTACAGATCGAGCCAAGTGTAGTGTAATATTGCTCTCATGAGTGAAGTAACAAAGGTGCATAGCCTTTAGTTACATGAAAGCTAACAAGCTAACTCCACTGCAGTAGTTTAACGAGCTGCACACATCAATCCTTTTACAGTGATTTGACACTTCGTACATTAGCTTGATCTTATGCACATTAAAATGAACCCACGTTTATTTTAAACGCTTCCCAGATAACGTTAGTGATGAGTTCATAGACAGCTTGTATAACCCACGCAGGCTGTGAAAAACAAACTTAACCAGACGCTAAATGTATATTTCTGACTGCAAGCGAGCAGTATTTTATTTGGTGTGCTACATATGCATATCCACCACCCAACCGCTATGGTTATTGTGCGTGCACATTGTATTCACTGGGCTATCGTCGGTCGCCGTTACTCTGAGCAGAGGATGTAACGTTAGCCACACAGTGCTAGCAGCAGGGCTCGCTGTCTTTAGCCATTGTTTTCTCCAATCTCGTTGTTTCCGAACACGAGAATAAATAACCTCCAACTTCATATAAACAAACACTCGCGCACTTATCAACAACCGAGGGGGATTTTATAGGGTATACTTACAAATGAATCCAACAATAACTGTGTGGTTGGACAGTCAGGCTTCCCTTTGACAGCTCGACAACACCAGCTGCAGCAGCCCTGCCTGGTCATGTGATAAGCATTCAGTTGCTACGGGAAGAGAAGAGGGACAAGCGACACGAAACACACGAGAACTGGGATTCATCACAACCGTAGATCACAAGACTCTTCTTTGAATGTTTGGGCATGTGGCATCCTTAACGTTGCATTACTGCCTCCTTCTGGATATGTTATTTATTTGTTTGGATTTATTCTCATAAAACCCCATTTCTGCCCTCCACACTGTCTCCACACTCTGCTTTTTGTACTGGCCTCTACATGTCCTGTTTTCTGTAATTGTGATCATCCCTTGTATTTTCTTTTGTCTAATTTCAACATGTAACTACAAATATGCTCTATATACAAGTATACTAAGTTGCTGGTGCCCTGGTAGCTCACCTGGTAGAGCTGGCACCCCCACATACCAAGCCTGAGTGCTTGCTGCATCAGCCGTGGGTTTGAATCCGTGGCTGCATGTCATCCCCTCTCTCTCCCTTTTCCTGTCTACCTTCAGCTGTACTATCCAATAAAAAAAGCAAAAAGCCTAAAAATAAATGTCAAAAAATGTAGGTTGCTGTGTCAAATTCTCAGTCTGATTATTGTTAGGCTACTTGTTCTTTCATGTTCGTTCCTATTACTATATGTAGTAAACCACAGTGAGGGGTTGTGAACACATCCCAGGTAGTCCAACAAAACCCCTCCCTTAGCTCCTCCCCCTGCCCAGGTGCAGTATAAAAGGCCTCAGCTGGCTCAGTTTAGCCTCTTGCTGGTCCCTGGTGGTGGTTGCCTGCTGAAGGTGGTGAGTAGGGTCCCCATTTTTATGCATTTC